CATAGTAACGGTAAATATTTTTTAACCTTAACAACAAAATTTAATGAACAAAATAAAATACTGCGGCTGTATAACTTGCCTAAAAAATCTGTTTATATATTTAAATAACTGAATTTAAATTTTCAAGTACTACAAAATAGAGACTAGTGGTCTATGTGCTGTTGATTCGAAGAGGGACTCCACACCCATGAAACAGCTTTTGAGACGTTGTTTAACAGCCAGGGGAATAAGCCTCCCCCTCGTAATACTGTACTACATACATATTTTATGTAGTCGGTAATAAAAGATAAGGAAAATAGCTTTTGATTACTTTAAAATTAATATTAAGTTTTACATTTTTAAAAAGGATATTAAATATTCCAAGGTGGATGACCTCCATTAATATACAAAACATATGAGAATCCATCTTTACACCTCCCATTTATGGAATAATAGTAAGGCAAGAAGCTATGTAGTCTAAATCTGCAAAAGTATCTACTAAAATTAATGAATTTACCTCCTTTGACTAATACTCATTAAAAGTTGTAAAGTGGTGATTTAAATTGCAAATCGAATATCTGCATTTTAACTAATTTAGTGTTTTTCTGGGAATATTAGTTTAAAATTTCACATTTAAAAGAAATTGTAATAGTGATGAAACAAAAAGTATTAATGCTTTATTGTATAAATTATTATATATAGTCCCCTTTGAAAGTACGTTGAAATTAAGTATTTTCATTAAAAATCACTTGAAGTGACAAAAAAATAAATAAAAGTATCACTATCGTGCGTATAAGCATAAAACGTTTACAGGAATCTATTAATCTACAACTAAACTTATTCTTCATTGCTGATAGTATTTTGGGAATACGTAAACATGAAAAAGGGTAAAAAAGAACATCACAAATACTGTTAAATTATTCAGCGTCCTATCCTCGTCAAAGATGTTAACCATACAAGAAATAAAATAATCTACCAAGATGTTCTACGACCTTAAAGTTCTAACCGAAATAATTAACTGCCGCGCATTAGCCGCAAAAGTCATAACCTCATGATTAAAGTATAAGAATTTAAAAATACAAAACATGTGAGTATTTTCATTGCCTAAATAACTATTGAACGTAAAAATTAACAATCAATTTTAGGCAACTGTAATAAAAAGAAATTATTTTGTAAATTCGATTGACGAGCTATAACAAACAATTCATAAAAAGATCATCATAATCTGCTTTGTGGGAATACCCTGCTGTTTCGAATATTCCTATATACTGTGCATACAGAGACAAATACATGTGCTTTATCCTACTTCTTTTTTCATTTTGCACTGCCATCATATTTCATGTGTATTTGTATACAGTTATGTTAGTGAAATGAAGAGTTCTTTTTTATAGATTTAATCAAAAAATGATATAAGCATTAAGTTGTACCTTTGTTTAATTATACTATTCATGAGAACGGAAAAAGATATTGGAATATGTCAAAAACTCAATAATAAAATTCTATAGCTACAAAATGAAAAATTTGTTTTTCAATATAGTCCCCGATTTAAATACATATTTTTCTAAATGTGTGAAATAATTTTATATTATGGTGATCATCATGCGTGGTAGAATAATTGTCTTTAAGGTTCCCCTTGAGGTGAAGAAGAGCATCGATGACTGATTCGCCAGTCGTTTTGAAAAGTGGTGGTGAGAGAAATGCTACATATGGCGATTTCCACCATCTGGAAAGGTCCCATGTGGTGAGTAGGAGACGCTCACACGCTTTACATTTTCATTTCGAACAAATTTATTAAATGTAATTCCAAACGAATGAATGCATTTGTTCTACTGAAAAGTCACTTGTATTATATATTTATTGGTTTATCATCCTTTCCCTTTGAGGAGCTTTAAATCGTTTATCTTCTTTCCATGTTTCTTGTCAAACGCAGACACTGATAGTCTCATGGGAAATGGATACTTACTACATAAGTAAAGCTTTGATGATCTATGCACGGTGCTATAAATACAGTATCACTATCGGAATCCACTTTCAAACGACTTATAGATCTGCTGTTAAAAATTTGTTTACTGTACGCTGCAAATTGACATAATGGAGTCATCCACGACTCCATTTTAACTACTACTAAAAATGCGGACCTATAAATAGGTTTCAGCGCAACATCGTAGTTTTGTAAGAGATAATTGTAACATTGATATTACAACACGTGAAGCACGCTAGATACTTTTGTTTTCGTTTGGTGTAGTCATGTACAAAACATTTCTGCTGATTCTCGTATGTTAGTAATGTTAGGCCCTCATTATTCTACTGAATGCAACGCGATCGTGATCCGACATTAAAAAATTGTTTGGCAGTTATTTTTCGTTGGGTGCAATCGCCCGTTTATCTTCTCTAGACTTACTACAAAATATTTATGAAAAACATTATAGAAGGCAATAATAAAGCAAGTTATAAGTCTGATAAACTAAGAATCAAATTCGCTTTTTCTAAACAATTATACCAGTAAAAGAATTTTGAAAAATTACACAACTAAAAAAAATTGTCATTAGTATGCATACAGTTCATCATTATTAAGTACACATACCTTTTTTAGGAAAAAAAAATAACTATACCCAGTTGAGCACATGATTGGTATTAACTGAGCAATACGGTAAGGCAACAAGCTAATGTTAATTAAAGGTTGCACCAGCTATATTTAAAAATAATAATAATGTCAAATGCAGTTCACTTAATAAATCGTAAAGAATCAATTTCAGCTAAAACAACTACAATNTGACCTAGTTAGCCGCACTGTACCGCGATTTTACTAAGTCGGCAGAAATGATGAACTTTAATTATTACACATTTGAATTGTTTACTGCTATACCGAGTGTTTTCCCTCAAGTATATGGTTGTGAGCGAGTCATTTCTAAACGCTGTCATTTCCAAAGGGTGGTATTCCTTGACCTCAGGTCACCTGACCTGTCTCCATTAGACTTTTTTTATGGGGATATGTTATTAAATTAGCAGAATTCTCACACACACTTAATACATAGTTGTGATTATTTCAAAACTGCATTTTAGTCTTGATCGCCCTGTACTTAAAATAAACTGAGGGGGCCGATTCCACATTGGCTCTCCTACTTACGCATGCGTATAATCCGTTAATTATGGTTATTGAAGAACAACATAAAACATTCTATTGCTAATCTTCTTGAAGTCCTATGTTAAATCAAAACCGACCTGAAAACTTCATAAAATAGTGAAGAGCGCCACGATTGTTAGAAGTTCAAAATCGATATCTTGGAGACTATTATATTGTAATAAGTGGAACTATTAAATCAATTAAAATTCTTTTTTGGGTATATTTTTGAAATTATGAAGCAGGCATTTCATAACTATAACAATAATATACCTATGAAATGTAATTTGCGACTCATTTTTATCGCCTTGTCTTCATCAACTGTAAGAAGAACAAATAGCCGTTATCACAAATACTAACATTAATTGTCTTTCGTCCACTAATCGCTCACAAAAACACAAAACAAACGTGATCAAACTACATTACTACTTTGCGCTGAACGAAAAACGTGTCATTAGCTGGTATATAAATTATTTATTAATCAGTGAAATCGTTGTATTTCACAATTTAACATTGCACTTGTTTACAGCACATGCGCAAGTAGATTATTTTTCTGTTTAAATGAGTATTGTCAGACATATTAAATTAACAGTATGGATTTTGTTTAAATTTTAAAAGTAAACACGATAACTGTTATAGTAGTTCATTGAGCATTGTTTACTGGAACTGTAATTTTTGTCTAATAGTAGTACAATATAATCAGTATAAGAAAAATCATAAATGATGATAATACAGAATATGAGAAAAGGCACAACAGGTTTATTGAAAGCGCAGCTCACACCTCACCACTATTGAAGTCAATTCCAAATTTAACATATATTCCTTATTTGTACGCGTAAAATCTGCTCATAATAACAGACTATATATTATGTTCTCAAGAAAGCATTTAAAAATATTTCATTAAAAATTGGAAAAGTATTTCATTAAAAAAGGAAAGTCAGTATTGAAAACAATTTTANAGCAATACGGTAAGGCAACAAGCTAATGTTAATTAAAGGTTGCACCAGCTATATTTAAAAATAATAATAATGTCAAATGCAGTTCACTTAATAAATCGTAAAGAATCAATTTCAGCTAAAACAACTACAATTTAAATACACAATTAATAAAATTCAAAAGAAAAGACTTCACAGAAAATAAAGTGGTGTGATTTAATTATTGATGAATATTCTACCCAGCTGAATAAAGGAAAGTAATACCATATACCATAACCAAGCAGATTTTCCACCGACCTAACTGGTTTTTCATTAACAAAGTCGGTCAGCACTCGAAAATCGTTATCTAATTCAGAAAAGTTACTAGGAATAAAAAATCAAAACATGGTCTGCCATCTGTTAATGAATAATGAGATTTACTGCTCCTTATGTACTTAATGTGCATGAAAATAAAAATTTATACGTCCGCTGCGGGCTTTTGTTTGCTATTTCGAAAAGCTAACAAAAATGAGTGATAGAGATAGTGAAACGTCTGATACACCACGAATGACAAAACGTTATAACAATGTTTTAATCTTATAACATTTTTTTTTTAATTTAAATCATACTAGTACAGATAGATTAGGTTCTTTGAAAAAATAATTTTAGTAAAATGTGTGCTCAAAAATCATCCTCAGGGCTGCTTTTTGGTTTACAAAAAGGTGGCAACAGTAAGTTTATCTACTGTCACCATGTCTGGTAGTATAAGATTAAAACATCAACCAACATTACTACTATTATTTTACTTAATGAAGATGAATGCCTAATTCTTTTAATTATGAAAACCTTTATATTATACAATTAATATTTTTAAATGTCTTTATCATGTATGTATGTTGTTCTTATGAGTCTTAAACTTAAACACATAATGATAATCACAAGACTGTTAGTTAATTATTAATAGTAATTATAAAAATATTACTTACTTCCTACGTTCATAAAAAAGTATAGCAGCAGAATTGGTAGTCAGAACATGTAGAAAAACAGCTTTGACCTTTTTCTTTTCTGTGCTCGTTAGATATTTAATTAATGAATCTAACAATAAAGTTGCAATGCCATTCCTTCTGTACTGCCTCACGACCCCCAATGACAAAATATAACCCACATCAGCACTTTTTATAAAACTCTTTGATAAGATACCCATATCTTCTGAATTGAGGCATAAGAAAGGTTTGATTTCTGCTACTATAAGTCCTATTATCACTTGGTTATATACTGCCGCCAAGGCATAGAACCTGCTTAAAATTAATCCTTAACTTTCACCATCAAATTCTGAAATCTTTTAAACTAACTAAACGCTTAATGTGATTCTGAAGCTATCTTTAATTCAGTCTAACAATACTAAAGTCACCATAATAGCATTACAATTACCTTTGACTCGATGTTATATCTTCATACCATGAAAGAGGATACTCAATAGGAAATAATTCTTGACAGAGAGCTCTAACCTCACCCAAGTCATTTGGACAAAGAAATCTTAATTGCACGTCGGCTAAAGAACAAAGAGGCACTTGAGCTTCCACTTTACATCTTTCTGTCGTAATAGTAATACCATTGGCTTGATACCTTCGAAAATGTTTTCATTTAATTCCATTGTTCCTTTTCATTTAATTAGTTACGGGATGAGCCTTACCAACTAATTCCGGCCATGAAAATGCGTAATTTATCATTTATTAAATTTTGTTTTTTAAATTGTCAGATTTAGTTCATTAGTCTCTATATACTTCCGAGACTTATTTCAAATTTTGTACTCTTCCGTAATCTTGACATTTTAAATACCTTTTATTCATCCCCGTACGATACAATTCACCACACATTCAAAACGTCAAATTGAAATGTCAAAAACCTAGACCGTAGAGTACTGATCTATTTGGATATATTCATCTATTCTTCCTCAGATATATTCAAAAAGACTAAAGATCAACTAGAGATAGGAGTAGAAAGTACATGGCTTGAGTATTAATGCGCGACGCTAGGAATAAAAAAGGTACACGAAATATCATCACGAAGTTGCGCTCGTTTGTACGTTGTCCGTTGCGCAGTATGACAGTACGGATTTCTAATGAGACTTTTTTTATCAAACCTATGTACGTACTCATTTCTTGAATTTCGTGTGTTCAATTTCAGTAAAGAATAGTTATCAAAACTACGTTAGTTGCTACAAACACATCAATGGCAACAATGTTTCTTGCTTTTAACTTGTTAATTAGTTTATTGCTGTCAAGAGGAATATTACTGATATCACTAAGTAAATAATCTAGATTCGTAAATTTATTTTTGTCGAATGGGTGGATACCCGAATATCTAAATCCTGCCTCTGCTATTTCATAACGTGCAACTTTTTTAAATGCTTCTGGTACAAAACCTGCTAAGTCATATTCAGTAATTCTAGCTCCGACATTAGTCCGCATCTACTTACATTAGCGTTTATTATAATCATTTTTGAATGGTTTCATAAAAGATCGATCTAATGGCTGCATCTTAAGTGCAGTATGCGGTCCTGGTGTGCTAATCAAAGTTATGTGATTGTCTTTACAGAAGTTAATAACGTCTAATGTTTTATGATTCCAGTGCCTATCAAGTACTAATAAAATTGGTGATTATTTCGTTGGTATATTTCGTTATTCATTCATCCCTTATGTTTAACTACAGCTTCACTTTCTGAGGGTGCATTAATAATTAAACGGTTATTTATTCTTTGGTTAGGAAGTATGAGAAAAGGCGGAATAAATTGTCCCATAGCATTGATACAAAACATTACGATTACATCCTTTCCTCTTTTGGCTGATGTTAATTTGCCAACTTCTCTTTTTTTTTGCTATAACCTTTTAATGTCTTTGAACAGTTGTGACGCCTGTCTCATCACGATGATATATATTTATCTAAAAGTTTCTGTAAACACGTTTTGCTCTGCCCCAGTTTTTAGAGTTGCTTTTAACTATATTTTTTTATTCTTTATTTATACAAGCATTTAATATATTTTTATATTTATGATTTTATCTATACCTATGGTTTTTTTGGGGATTCATGTACCACCCTTTTCGACGGTTTGCCAACAATACATGGTGACAATTAAAAAACCTACATTGATAAGGCCTCAAACCAGAGGCGAAACGTTGGTGTGGTTTTACTACAATAATTTTTTGCCCCTATTTGACTCTGGTTTCTTACTATTATTAACATATAAAATAAAAGAGAAGAAATGGAATACAATATATGGAAGACAACAAGCACACTATTTTATCAAAATAGGCACACATTTATATGGTTAACGTGGGACTTAATCACGTAAATGTGTTTTTTGCGCAATTAATTTAAATGTGTGAGTACCTATGGCGAACGTTTAACACTATCAAAATATACTTGTCCGGTACTAGGGAATTTGTTACTGCAGTATAATTTCTATAACAATATTGTCACAAATATGAATACCTCACGCTTTTACAACTTTTATTTAATTGTTTGCCGTCTCTTCAACACTTTTGGTATTAGTATTACTTATCAATTCACGATTATATAATCCCTTTGTCACTTCTTCGCTCTTTCTTACTTTCCTTGTAACGCCACGTAACTCGAATTCGTACTAACCATAGGTTGCCATAGGTACTGACTGCACTCAATCTTGCGACAACTATATATACAAACCAACAGTTTTCTGGAATTTTCCAGTATATGCCGTCTAGAAATCGCCTTCTTTTCCCTTATATATGTTGGGTTGCCTACATACATGTGACACTGTCCCCCTCCTAAAACTGATCGTCCCAATCAGTAACGTCGCCTCTGTAGGTAACAAGCTGGTCAAGATTGAAGATCTTCATTTTTGCCAGAGGTCCCTTCTAAATTCGATAAACAACGTCATTGATGCGTTAAGTAATGGTGAATCCCAAACCTATTGTAGTTTCGGGCAATGTCCCTTCCGTCTTGATGGATTATACAGTCTTACTTTGTCGCCTTTATTAAACCCACCAGAATTGGCTCGTCGATTGTATCTAGTCATCATGCGGTCATTTTCAAATCCCAACTTCATACGAACTGCATTATAAATGGCTTCTAGTCGTCCACGTATTTTTCTGTAAGTACTGGACAGTCTCCAGACTAATCATGTCCGCTAACCTGACCCTAGTCTCGGACTTGACCTGAGTTTATCCCGAATAAAATGCTGACTGGTGCGTTGCACAATCCATAAAGCATCACATTCAACTGCCATAGACCATTTCCAGTTGTAAAGGCAGTTCTCTTTATCCTGCGAATGCATATCTACTTGCCAGTATCCACTTTTCAAATCAAGAGTAGGGATCCATTTAGCTCCAGGTAGATTATTTAGTTAGTCATCGATTCGGTGTAAAAGGCAGCTGTCCTTCAGCGTTATGTCCCTCAACTTCCTATAGTCCATACAAAATCTCGTGAAACCATTCTTCTTGGGTATCAACACTATAGGGGAAGTCCAAGAACTTTGAGATGGTTCTTTACCCTCTGCTTATGCATGTTTTTATGAGATTATTGACTTTCTATTGCTTGGCCCAAGGAACCCTTTTAGGTGGTTGTATGATAGGCCTTGCTGTTCCAGTGTTGATACGGGGGAATGTTAAGTTGGTCCTACCAAGATCCTGACATGCGAAGACTTGTTAAAAACGGCCAAAAAGTTCTTCCAGTTGTTTGACTTAGTGCTTGCTATGGTTACTTGACCGTTTCACCAGTTCTGATAATGTTGTAAGAAGTGATGTCGGTTTCGTCTTAAGTTCTTCTTCCTAATCACAATTGGTGAATTTCAGTTTCTGGTTCAAACACACCCAACGCTTAACTTAGCAAATCCTTTGTTCAAAGTTTTTTAAATTGACTATTCTAACAGGTATCGATGATGCTCCACTTCTTATGAGCGTACGTCCTACCAATGAAGCTTTATATCATCATCATCGTCATAAGTATAACACTGGATGGACACACACCTCCACTTTTTCCTATTCTGAGCTAATCTTCGCCTATTTCGTCGTCTATTATGACTTTTACGACACTCTCGGAGTGACTCGGTAGTATTGTCACGCAGTAAAGTTTTAAGGAAACTCAAAAACCATTTTAGACTTCAAAACATATTTTAAAATTAATAAAATATTTCATAATTATAACGTTGTTATTATTTTCAAATTTATAAAACAGATATCAAGTTCATTTACTTGCAAAATAAGCGTATTTGGCATTCTGCAACAACGAAGCAGAAAGTGAAAAGAATTATCTATTTACAAGCAGAATTTGACGTCAGTTCGATAGCACTGGTCATTGGAAAAATTATTGAACTTCGCGAAGTCATCAAAAAGGACTTCGTCAGTTTTTTCGTTAAATCAGCTAAACCAGAGAAACTTCTAGAGCCAGTGAATGACCCATGTTGAACTATGTACAAATAATCACTGGTTCATCAAAAGTTTAGCGCGTGAACGGGGATGGATCGCAATCAGTCAACTCGGGAACGCGAAGGGAAAAAGTCTACCCTTCAAAAAGTAACAGGTGGCAAACTCTAAGTGTTGGTGACACTACCTCCTGGACGATGATTGCGGTGCTCCTATCAATGTAAGTAACCCTCTTAACTTTTGGTGTATTGATCTACGTTGAGAGGAAGATCCTTTTCATGAAAGTTTATGTTCAATTCTTGCCTTTCTTATCATCTTAGTACCTTACCCCCAGTCACGCCAAAATGATTAAACTGCATTATAATCAGGTAATTAAAATAAATAATTAAAAAATTACCGACGTGACATATATGTTGGAGGCACCGTTTCTAAATTAAGCTGACAGTATTCGATCTTCTACGATAATTTATAGACATCAAGCTTCGTCTAGGAATTTGACATTACTATCTCTTCCCTCCACCAATGCGCTTTATGGAAGTTCTCAGATTTAAGTCGATTCTATGTTCTTGAAGAAGGCCCAATCCAATGATGACATCATTCACTATGTCGGTCACCAATACTCAACTGTTAAGATCACATTTGCAATTCTAATTTCGACAATACATTATCCATGGACTGGTGAAATCTCTCCGGTAGCTGTAGTTAAAATCAGTCTTCTGGCCAAAGCTTGAATTCATCATTCCGGTACCATATCAGAATAAACGATGGTGTTGGATGCCCCTCTGTTGATAACCAATCTAACATTGTGAAGGTTTATACAGCCTTCCATAAATAATGAGTTAGTGCCGTCCAGTTATGAAATGATGACTTTGTGGGAACACTCCGTATTTCTATTGTCACTGTCGATTGACCAAAACTAGGTCATCCATCGAATTCGGACCAAACTGCTCGATAAACATTTTACATTTAATCCATGTAAATAATATTAGTATTTCTCGAGCTTGGAGATCCCCGGGAAAGAAATGGAAAGGTTGGGATTGGGAAGAGGATTGAGTTGGAAAAAGGGGTTGAGTGTGGAGGGGAGAAGAGAGCGTTTGAGGAGGGAAACCGTCGAAGTAGGTGGTCCACCTCTGAAGTAATGGGTGGACACTCGGGCTAAAAAGCGAAGCTAGAAGTGAGCGAAAGGGAGTGGCTCATTGTAGAAGGTAACAGGGCGTTCGGAAACGGTCGTTTGATTTTGAGCGAAGTTAGAGAGTGTCGAAATGGTGGGGTTTGCGTGGTCTGACACTGATACCGGAGATTTGGCGCAAATGTGATTGCAGCCTCGAGGAGAGAAGGTAAACCGGTTTCTTTCAGAACTTGGATGTTTCTGACGAACCAGAGTAGTTTAGTGCGAAACGAAGAATCTGCATGTAGGTGCCTTATATAAGCTTCAGACAGTGGGGAAGAGCGCAGTCCCAGACGGGAATAGCATAGGAGCAAATGCTCCTGATGATTACGTTGAGTGCGATGAAAGCACACATGGCATTGCTTCTAGTGACTGAGATGTGGCGCTGCCAAGTTAGGGCCCTGTCAAAGACGACGCCCAGGTATGTGACGGAATTGCTCCATTTGATAGGCGGTTGTTTACGATGACGGAGGGAGGTTTTTGGATCCTACGTGAGAAGAAAATTGCTTCCGATTTGGTCTCGTCAATGGAAAGTTTCCTTACCGGTACCAGTTTAGGAGCAGGGCAAAAACTAATTGATTCTCCCTGTGTATTGGAGAATGGTTTTGGCAGAGTTTATGAGAGCAATGTCGTCAGCATAATGAGTAGTTACAATAGAGGTGTCATAGGGCATGTCCGCGCAAAACAGGTTAAAAAGAATGGGAAATAATTTGTAGTCTTGTGGGACACCGGCCGTGACGGGTTTGTTGGCGGAGAGAACAGAGCCAACGCGGACCCCAAGGTTTCTGTCTGTGAGGATCTGATCTGATAATCCCAATTAAAAAATGTGGGATGTTAAGGGCGATAAGTTTGGATATAAAGGCCTTCGTGCCAGACTCGGTCGAAGGCTTGCTGGACGTCAAGAAGAAGCATGGACGTGTGACGCCGCTTGTTAAGGTTATCTGAAATGTATTCGTATAAGCGAAGGAGTTGGTGGCGGGGCCGTGTTGAAAATTGGGGAGAAGGTTGTTTTGCTTCACATGGTTTAAGAGCCGATTGAGAAGGATGGATTCAAGTATTTTGCTCAACGAACTGAGCAGGCTGATGGGCCTGTAACATGAAGGAGAGCTGAGGAGCTTCCCATTTTTGGGAAGACAGATGACAGTGGCTTCTTTCCATACCAAAGGGAAGTGGTGGAGCCGCATGATGGCGTTTGTGATGTTGTACAGTGCGGTAATGTGCTTCGGCAGCAAGACTTTGAGGACTCCGTTGGGAATTTCATCAGCGCCAGGGGCTTTTCTCTTTTTCAGAGAACGGATAATAAGAGAGATTTCATAGGGGGTAATGTGTCTGAAGTCGAATTTCAAGAGGGCGAAGTTTTGGAAGACGGCTTTGGTACGCTCATGAAAGTCAGCAAGGTCCACTGGACTATGTAGCGGGAAGCATGAAGAGTTTGCGAAGATTGCAGCTTTTTCTTCGTCTGAAGAGTAGGTGGAGCCGTTCTGTTTTAGTGGAGGAAGATGGGGAGCTCAGTTTCGAAAAGAAGGGATCACTTTCCAAGTGCTTCTGGGGTGTGTTTCTGCCTGAGCAATACAATCGTCGAAGGATGCGTTGCGGAATTCGGTGAGACGAGTTTTCAGTTCTCGTTGAATAGCGTTTACTTCGGCACGGTGTGCGGGAAACGGTGTCTTTTCCACAGACGTCGGGCCTTGTTTTTCCTCTTATGGAGGTCAAAAACGTCTGTGGGGAGGGATGTGGAGGGTCGGGAAGTTGCTTATCACATGCTTATCATGAAGTTACATATGATTAGTGGTAACATGTGTTACGTTAAGTGACGTTCACTTCCTCGTTAATATACATCCAGCCATCACCACCAAAATGATTTTTTGCATTAACTACCCTAAAGACCTAGCGAATTCAGTATTTCTTACATGCATACGACTGATGTTTTTAAGTTTTTCTAATTATACATATTATAATTAAAATTTAATCAAACGAAACTTATTACGTACCTATGTCATATACCAATTGCCTACGCTTATGGTGCCCTTGCTATAGCTACAGTTCATAGTTGATGCGATCGATTCTTGCCCGTCCAGCATCGGTCTAGATCGGTTGATCAGATGTCGGATCGTGTTCGATCAGATATGAATATTATGAAATGAATTGAATCATAACATGATCATAACCAATCATAACAAAATGATAACAAACCATGCTCACATAATGTTAATCAAATGTTTTTTGTTATCTAAATGATTAGATATTACTTATTCCTGTTGTTAAGTAAGATCATACTGTAGTGTTGCATTGAAAAAATATTAAGCCATTAAACATATGGGTAAAAAGTTTTCGAAAAATGAATTGCGCTGTGCAATGGTTGTGAACAAAACCATACGAACGCGATGGATTCGTAAATACAAAATATTTTTTATACTTGGATTTTTTACTATAATTTTACAAATGTATCTTGCCATTCAGTTTATTTCGTTACACAATGAAACAGAAAATGATATCAGTTGGAACCCCCAGAAAGATCAATTAGAGTCAGAGGGCAAAGCAAATTCCGCTAAAAAAGTTGGATTATTGGATGATGAAGATACCCAAATTTTTTCAAATTCCCAAAAGGAGAAAAAACAAATTAATGGAAATGAATCAAATAGAAGTAGCAACAAAGTACTAACATATTTACGATTAGAAGAACTTGATTTCATTCCCAGTTGTGATATTGACATCAAGGAGGCTATTTCTGCTATACATAGAGCAACAACACAAAGATGTAAACAGTTTATTGCTAATATAACTTGTTCTGAGAAAGAGAAAAAATTGTATCCAGCTTCATTACCTCATTACTGTCCTACAGATGGTTTTACTAAAAATAAGGCATTAGGATGTTTTAAAGATAAAAATAATTCTAGATTGTTAAGTGGCTTTTATGCAAAATATGAAAAGACTAATTCACCTGAACACTGCTTGGGGATATGTCTACAATCTGGTTTTCCTTTTGCTGGAGTACAGTATGCGTAAGTATCTATTAGTTTTTATTTCTATTAAAATTACCAAATTAGTAAAATATAAATACATATATTCTTCATTGATTCTATAGTGATTAGTAGCAAACTGAAAAAAAAAACTTTAAACCGTTTAACAAAATTTACCAACTTAAAAATAGTATTTTGACTTTATATGGTCAATTTCAAGTTGTAGACTCTCTAAAAGATATTGCCAAGTTGATGCACTAAATTTTGTTATTCATTGTTGTTTTTTCAATTAGTTTCACCATTAGATAGTTTGTTTGTACATATATCTTCCATTATAGAAATGAGTGCTTCTGTGGAACAGATAAACCTCCTTCATCTGCAAAACTTCCGGACTCCTCATGCAACATGAAATGCTCAGGAAATGTCAATAAAGTTTGTGGGGGTTATTTTACAATTAATGTTTTTGAAACAGGAATTAAAAGTAAGTATTGTATTGCCTAATTCTTAAATTACAAATAAAACCTTATTTTGTAATTTTAGGACCTACTTCTCAAACAGTTATCACTGATTCATTATTAAATGCAAAAAGAGTTAAAATTGTTTTTTTGCTTACATTAAATGGACGTGCTTTGCGCCAAATAAAAAGACTGATTAACATTTTAGCTCATCAAAATGTTATGTTCTATATCCATGTGGATGTGGTAAGTTTTTTAAAGTAAGAAAACGAAACCGAATTTGCAAGTTAGTATAGATAAAGTCTTGAAACTGAAAAAAAGATAATATATTTTATATTTCATTTCTATTTAACATTGTTACATTTGTGCACTATTGAGAAATTATTTACTTACCTAAACATTATAGGTAAATTTCAACATTGCTTCCAATATAAAACAGTTGAAGTTTGAATTGATTATTTCTATTAGTAATGTACATATTTTTTCGTTTATTCCTATAGTTTTTAACATTTTTTAAACATTTTTTTTAGAGGCAGGACTATTTATTCAGAGAACTGCTTATCCTAGAAAAACAGTTTCCAAATATTCTAAAGTTGACAAGAAATAGATTTTCAACCATTTGGGGAGGTGCTTCATTATTAACAATGCTGTTATCATGTATGAATGAACTTCTGCACTCTGACTGGCAATGGGATTTTATTATTAATCTGAGCGAATCAGATTATCCTGTGAAGACTATTGATAAGCTTATAAATTTTCTTTCCGTTAATTCACACCAAAACTTTGTTAAGTCTCACGGACGAGAAGTGCAACGTTTCATTCAAAAACAAGGTCTTGACAAAACTTTTGTTGAATGTGATAATCATATGTGGCGCATTGGCGATCGAAAACTCCCGGAAGGCATCGTAATAGACGGTGGTAGTGATTGGGTGGCGTTATCACGTAAATTTGTGGCCTATGTAGCAAGCGATACTCCAGCAGATTTAGTTACAGGTTTATTAAAAGTTTTTCGATATACTTTATTACCAGCAGAATCATTTTTCCATACTGTCTTGAAAAATTCTGAATTCTGTAATCGAAGTGTAGACAACAATCTCCATGTAACAAACTGGAAAAGAAAACTAGGTTGTAAATGTCAATATAAACATATTGTAGATTGGTGTGGCTGTAGTCCTAATGACTTTAAAACAGAAGACTGGATGCGAATCCAAAACACAGAGAATAAACAGATCTTCTTCGCGCGAAAATTTGAACCTGTTATTAATCAAGCCATTATTCTCCAGTTAGAACGATGGCTCTTTGGATCATTATTTGAAGAAGTTCCTAATGTAGATTCATATTGGCAAAGTGTCTATCACTATCAAGATTTGAGTCTTGTGGACGATGCTCTTCTTACCATTGCTCAAAGTGTTATCAGACTTCAGTCTAAACGATTTTTCAACCAACATTGCCAATTTCACTCTACTAAAATCATGGAGATTACAACATATCATAAACAGGATATGTACAAAGGCAACCTAATATTGTTTGAAACAAATGAGGGATTTCATTTTGAACTATTATGTAAACCAAAAAGCCTTTTTATTATTCGCAAACTCACTTCTATATCCAAACGCTTAGAAAGTATTACCGTTAGCAGTGAGTATGATCTAAAGGAAAAAGTAAGCAGAAATTTTCTAAAGGCATTAGGACCATACTCAGAACCTGTTCTTATTTATCAGTTTATGGCGGATACGGATTTTCATACAAGAACCTATAATATTTCATTTGTATGGATAAATCCTGCAGGAAATATTGAAGAAGTAAGCAGCATTCAGTTAGATGAAAACTTTACCATTGAAATTGTAAAGCCGTCTTTAAAGCAACCATTATTACCGGGATTATGGATAATTTATCTAGTTCATGAACGGGAAGTGCTGGTTCAAGTTAAATTTCTAATAGTTCCTCTTCAGTATGTGTCAGGAAGTCCTATAAATAATTCTCAGATAAATTATTTCCATTCTGGAAATGGAGAAGTAAAAGAATTTAGCGTGGAATGGAATGATTATGGACCAAGATCAATAGAGAGAGAAAGTTTAAAGAGAACATCTATAGCTAATTCAAGACGTTTTGGGGAAGATCTCGAAAATTGGATAGATTCGCTCGTTAGTAAGTCGTATAAATTAGGTGAATTATGCATCGTGAAAATATCTAATAATTCGTGTTTCGAAAATTTATCTTTGTGCGAAAAAACTGACTGGAGTAGTATGTCTCCAGATCCAAAAAGTTCTCTCAAGAATTTAAGTAGAAAATTATCCGAATCGTAGTTTTCATTTTGTTTACCGTTAGAAATCTTCAGTGCCATTTAAATAAAATAATCAATGTCATTCAAAAGTCTGATAATGTATTCTGTACATATTGAAGAAATTATTTTTATTTATATTTTAAATGTTTGACAGATTTTTGTAAGTTAGGTAGTAGAAATAAATGAGCAATGTTCTCGTAATTCGTAAACAGTTAAAATGTAATAAAAAGACCAAAAGAAGACGCTACTGTCTCGTGCATGTAGGTTTAACATAAAATATGGAAACTTTTATTTACATAAAGTACGGATTTTTTAATGCTTAAGTGTATCCAATTTTTCAATGTTTTACTTTATTTCTGTTAACGGTAGTGGATTAAGAGTCACGCTCTAAAATTAGTTTATGGTTTAAACAAGTGTATTTATTAACTGTAAGCGTGAATTATCTAAAAAGAAATCATTTTAATTACGATGTACCTACTAAATTAACACTTCATTTATAGAATATATATTGACATACAATACGTATGTATGTTGTGATAAAAAGGTGCTCGATATAATTAGTGTATACTTTTATATGTTATGTATTTATTGTATGTAATCTTATTGGCAGGGCAAATTATAAATGAAAAATTTTGTTGTTTTAAAATAATGTGCAAACAACACTTAGGTACTGTTAAATAACCCAAAAAAATTCAATTTACGGTACAGATAACTGTTCGTTCTTATTTATTTATTGTATGTATAATTATAAAATGTAGAATAATAAGTACTGTAATTGTGAGGTAAAATAAACTATATTTTAATTTAACGAAATCATATTTTGTGTTTTAAAGTTACAAAACACTTAAATGTTTCAAATGTTTTATTCAAACTCCATTCATCATTTTAGCTTGTTATATTATTAAAAATATTTCATGTGTTCTACCAAAGAATTAATATATTACGGTAATTTAAGTAAAAGTTGAGGCATATGTGTAAAGTTATTTGTACAGGAGCTGTTGTAATATATAAATAATATGACTACAATTGTAAAATTACCAAATTCAACTTATCACTACAAGTTAACTAAACCTGTTAATAATATATCACAATGAATTTAATCTAAAGCATACTTTTAACGTAGATAGTTAAATATTACCAAAACTAAAACCAAATTTAGGTAAGAGTTCATCACTCAGTGAGGCGTAACATGATTGGCATATTTTAATTCAGTTGTACATTTTACTTTTATGCTAATTTTTTAATCACTCCAAGAGATTGTAAGCTGATGGGGCAACATAGTGAAGTAAATTTTAGTACAAAATTCCTGGATTTACTTCTGTTATGATAGAAATAGGAGATATAATACCATAAATTAACTATTACGTGTTTCGTTCTCACCAGCTAATATAATAAGACTGGGGGGGGGGAGATTATACGTGAAATATAACTGCTTCAGCATTATCCTAAATGACATAAGGAACAGAAAAACGTGGGCCAGGGCAGGCACACCTAGATGCTAAGCTATGATCTAGACTACTAATTGTAAAAATAGGTACAAAATATTTTGTTTACATTACTATTTACAATAATGAAATTTATTATAAATTACTTACAAAATTTTAATAATTATTGATTAGTTTCAAATACTACAAATTGTATAAATTGCCTTTGCTTTATAATTCTACACATATCATGATATTTGTTTTTCCAAATCTTTATCAGTTCTTCACAATTTTTCAGGCTCTCATCATCTAAAAATGTTACACTCAGATTTCTAATAATACATTTCTCAAAATTAATAAGTTCCACGGCATTTTTCATTCCTGTAAAAGCAATATCACAGCCCATTAAATTTAAATTTACTAAAGAATAATGCTGCAGCAGTTTTTTAGAGGATTTTAATGTTAACTGAGGATTGTATGAGAGGTTCAAATGTTTTAATCCATTAGAAAATTCAAGAGCCCTGAAACAAAAATTATTAAAGAATTATTTAACACGGCAATATCATCAAAAACTTACCTTAAAAGTTCTTCAATTTCATCATCAATTACATTACATCTAGATAGGTTTAGTGTTTTTAATTTTAGGGTACTATTTTCGCAGTTCATTAAAAATGCAGTTACTTCTCCACATATACCAATGCTGAACTGATTATTATTAGACACATTTAAATTTTCTAGAATATTTTGATCTAGCCACGATAATATTTTTGCCACTTCCTCAGTTTTAAGATTATTAGAACTAATATCCAAAACTTTAATTGATTTTAAGCAAAGTTCTAAATCTTTATTCACAGAGCTATCGAAAACAGTGAAACTAAAATCAACAGCAGCCAAATGAAGTGCTTCTAACTTTAAAAATCTGGTCAACGTAGCTAAGTATTTCATACTATTTGCTGTTAAAGGATTAAAATTTAAATTTAGATTCACGAGATTTTCAAGAATTTGGCCTGTGTTGTTTAAAAATGAGTCCGAAAATATTTTCAATAAATCTGCGTTTAAATTACATGAAGATAAGTTTAAATTTCTAAGATGTGTGAGTGAAGAGATGGAAAAGCATAAATCTGTCATGCTTTCTTTAGTCAACACGTTGCCCGATAAATTTAAATCATTCAAGTTTGTTTGATGATTTATTGCCTTAAAGAAAGGCTTTAAATAAACATCGCGAAGTCCAAAATCTGATAAATTAATTGATGTGGAAGACATTTGAAGTGTTTCTTCAATTTCCTCTTGAACATCTAAAAAAACAGTTATTTATTAAACAAAATCATAAAACGAGCTTTAAAAGTATACCCAATTCGTATGTTATACAACTTTCCCGAAAACGTTCTACTAAAGATGGAATATCCCACCTAACAATTCGAGCTTGTATTTCTTCAGATTGAATGTTTCCCGCAGGAAACAAAATGCTAACGAAATCGTCTTCAGCCAAAACTGCTCCATTTTTAGTTTCAAGATCCAGTACAGGTCTAACCAATTCTTTTCTAATAATGTGAAAAAAAAATGATAGCCTGCTAATTAAATTTTTTTTTAATAATTTCTTCATGATTATTATCACATTAAAATCATTTTGATATTAATACTACTAGAACAGTAGAGTTAACAAAATCACGTCCGAAAATTTCTGAGTGCTGTGGATGTTCTATATTGCTTTATTTGAAATTTTATTAATAAATTTGGATTTTTATCAAAAACAGATTTCACTAATTTTGGCATATCAAAAGTGTAGATGGACAATTGACAGCTACCGTAATGTTAAAAATCAAAACCTTATCTTTCCTTTGTTTCATGTTACAAAAATGAAGGATAAAGATTGGCTTTTTACAATCTTAATGAGATGTTCATTGACGTAGAACGTGATTTGGTGCACGCTATGCAGTCATTAATTTACCTGTGATGTCTTAAGGGTTACTAGATGGTTATACTAGTTTTAACTGTTTATAATAATTATTGTTTTATTTATATATTGTAGTTGTTTAATTGGTTTTAACTACCTATTCATTATTTTACCTGCTTATGTATTTAACTAATGCCTGGCTGTATAACATGCATGAAATAACGTTCTACAAGATTATAGTGAACATCTAAAAAACCAACCCTGATAAAATTTCCAACCATAGAGGCGAAACGTTAGTTTGTGGCTTTTACACCACCCATTTGACTCCGATTGTTCGATTATTATTATAAAAGGAAGAAATGGAATTTAATTACTCTATTATGTTTTAAAATTATTTCCAAAATAGTTCAACTAACGTACTAGCATAAGGTACACAAATTTCGCCATTTAAATGAAAAAAAGTATAATGCTTCGATTGAGGGGCTCCGTATTCCCTACTTTTAGGCGATAAGTACTAGGTATATAAAGTAAGCTGTATATGCATAAAATATCGTTTTGTAATCATCATCATAATCATAGGGTCGTCAGTCCTAAAACGGGTTGGACACGTACCTCCACTCTTTCCTAGCCTGAGCTAAACTTCGCATTTCCCTAAAACTAGAACAGCCCACATCCTTAACTATTTGTGAACAGTAATCTAACCTAGCTCTACCTCTACCCCTCGTAACTCCTGTTTCTGCCTCTAATATGTCTCTGACTAGACCTTCATGCCTAAGAAGGTGTCCTACCAACCTATCTCGCCTATTTTTTATTGACTTCCATAGAATCCTCTGTTCTCCTATTCTTTCTAATACCTCTTCATTTCTAACCTTTTCTACCCACGTTATCCTCATCATTCGCATATAAAACCACATTTCGAAGGCTTCTAACCTTTTCTTTTCCGCCGCGCCCACTGTCCATGTTTCGCACCCGTACAACGCCGCGCTCAAACATACACCTTTAACAACCTTTTTCGAAATTCTAAACTAACCGTTCTCGAAACATAGAAGTGACTTCTTTTTATTGAAGGCGACACTACCCTGCGCTATCCTCTGCTTTATATCCCTACTACTCCTTCCGTCCTGACTTATCTGACTTCCTGGATATCAAAAATCAGCCACTTCTAATTTTTCGTCTCTTATCTTTCTATTCGCTCTTTCTCTGCTTTTTCTTCCCTTGCATATCAGTATTTTAGTTTTACTTTTATTTATTTTCATACAGTACTGATCTGTCAGCTTCCATCTTAATTAAAGCTATCTCTAGATCTTCCTTGCTAGATTCTAATACTGCTATATCATCTGCAAATCTAAGCATACTAATTTTTTGCCCCTGTATATCTATCCCTACAGTTGTACTGTCTTTAATGATGTTGATGGCGTCTTCGATGTATAGATTAAAAAGTAGCGGTGACAGTGTGCATCCCTGCCTGACTCCCTTCCTAATATTTACTTCTCTACGTTGCATCCCCAGCTCTATAACTGCCTGTTGCTCTTTATACAAACTAAGTATCACTCTTCTATCTTTGTAATTCATCCCTACATTTTTAAGTATATTTAACATCTTGTCCCATTTAACATTGTCAAAAGCTTTCTCTAAATCTACAAATCCTATGTACGCACTCTTTCCTTTTTCTATCGTTTTCTCTATTGCTACCCGTAAAGCTAGAATGGCCTCCCGCGTTCCTCTATTTCTTCTAAACCCAAACACATCTTCCCCTAATAATTCTTCCGCCCTTTTTTCCATCCTCTTCTGTATAATTCTAGTTAAGATTTTTGACGCATGGGAAGTTAAGCTAATTGTTCTAAATGTCTCGCACCTATCCGCGCCCCTCTTTTTAGGTAATGTTGCTAATACGTTCCGTTCATAATTCTCTGGGACTTTCCCCGTCTCGTAAATGTGACTAACCAGCTTAAACATACGATCTCTAACCTTTTATCCTGCATGTTTTAGAATTTCCCCCTGTATCCCATTTACACCGGGCGCCTTATTATTTTTTAAGTTTTTTAAAGCTACATCGAACTCTTCTCTCATTATGGGATAACCAAGCTCATCTAATTTTGTTTTGTAATAACGGTAAATTTTTTATTCTTAATATAAGAGTGGCGTATACAACAAATGATAACAATATGATTCACACCGTACATTAGGCAAGCTATGTACCATATACTATCTCTAGTCTTCTCCAGTGTGTACCATAATCGCTAACAGAATATAAATTGGCAGGGAGGGGGCTGTCAAGGGGAAAACGGTATCTTGTGCCTATATTCCATGGCTATTGATATTAAGCATGTTTAGTAAGTCATTTGCGGTGTAAGCACATCTATTTTAATTTATTTGGTAACACTAACTTATAACAGTTGCGTGTGAAAGTTACAAATTGTTTTTTTTGCACGGGTGTTGTTGCTACACTGCACGCGTCGAACTATGCATCATAATCAGACTATGATTATGAAATAAAAGGAAATAAAAATTGTTAAAAATAAACAAACTAAAAAAGTACCATTTCGGACACAAACAGAACAATGGCCACCGGTTTAGTAACCAAATGTTCTACCTAAGCCGGCTAAATCGGCGTTTTACGACAGAGTACCCCACGCGGTGCAGCAGCATCAAAGTTAAATTAAATATTAGATATTTGTATTTAAATGTTGAAATTAATAATTCCATATCAAACAAACACTTATTTTCATGACATCGAAGAAATGTTTTTTTACAAATTAGCATTAACACGAAACTTCTGGGAATATAGTAAATTGAAAATCATCAACAATTTCTAAAATATGTTACAGTATATAAAAAAGTAATTCTTTGTACTATCTACCCCAATTATAATATTATTTTTTTCATTAAAAGCAACCAGAAAGGGGTTCTTTATTTATTGCGTAATCTCCACCTACGTTTCGCCTTTCGATCCAACAATTATCAACATAAATTATTTAGTTAATTAATTATATCAGATAGAGACATTTGAAATTTCTTGTATAATCACCTGAAAATTTAATATTTGTCAGACACATCGATAAACATCACAGTTTCAAATTAAAATAACATGAATAAATAATAAATTAATTATTAAAATAATACATAATTAAAATAAAAATGAGGTCTAGATCGGNAATAAAAATGACAACCATGATTAAAATATAAAGTCTTGGATGGAAAAGCAAAACGTCGAAAAAATTGCGTAATAAATAAAGATCATTCCACCCCTTTCTGACTGCTTCGTATTGAATAAATATTAATATTAAAAAGTAAATTTCTAAATGTAAAATTAATATACGATATGTATCGAAATTCAAGTTGCATTTGAATTCATCATAACTATGCAATGATGAAGAGCAGATAATAAACTCTACGCACAAGTATATGGGCACCATTCATCCTCCATCTCCATCCTATAAAGGTTCATTTTCCTCGTCTATAATCACACTTTACACTCCACCTCCACATGGAGATTAGTGCGCCCTTGAAGATAGCGTTCCAAAAAATTAGAGAAATAGTGAGGGTCTGCGATAGCTATGTTGTTTCTATATCAAAGTATGATTGGGTAAGATCAAGATGGACTTCATTGCTATTGGCTACTGTTTGGAGGCATTAGCGCCACTTAAAAATTTCTACAAATTTAATGAACTGATGTACATCAAAAGAAGACAAGAGATAGGAGTAAAAACTACAAGGTTTGCTTAATGTACGGCGCGAACCGTGTAGCGTCATCAACTTGTGCTCGTTGGTACGCTGCACAGTAAGGCAGTGCCACAGCCACCTCTATTAGTCTGTGAAACAGAGCCCCTTTTTTTAATGATAAATACAAAGTTGAAACTTGGTGAGTGGTTGTCTTTTGGCGAGTCTACCACACTTTTTGTCTACGACTTTTTTCGAAACTGCTGCGTTTTCAAGTGGATATGATCGAAACATACCGAATACATGTGTTTTACTTCAGTTATTTTATTAGGGATGTTAGTGTTTCTTGTTTTTGTTTTGATAATAGTTAGGTTTGTAGTAAGAAGAAAGCGCGCGGAGGAGAGTAGTGTAGATGTGAGAAGGAGACTGTGAAAAGCACTTGTGAAAAAGAAAAAAGAAACATTGAAGGCCAAAATAGTTAATCTAGATACGAATCGTCGAATAACGAAAATAATATGGATCCAGCCTTGCAAGCGGTATTAATGGCATTTATGGAAGAGAGTCGACGACGTAACGAAGAATCTTCACGTTTCCAGGAAGAGTCTTTGAGAAGAAATGATATATTAAATACTTGTAAAATAAAGACACCATATTAGCAATACCGTTGAGTACTATGCACAGCAACAACCCAAACAAACGTACCTTGTCATGCCAGGCTTCAGTGAAAATATACGAGAAATTCATGGTAGTGAGAGTCCAACAAAAGCTGCGAAACGGATTAAAAATCTAAAAAACATGAAAACGTTACACAGATGACCTGATGGTTCCATTCTTGAGCCAGTACGTATACATCTAAGGGCGGCGCTTATCATTGGTTACAGTTCAAAATAGCAGAATTGAAAACATGGGAATTGTTCAAGAAAACATTTGTTGGTAAAGAAGATCGAACAACGAAATGGTTAAGAATGACTAGTCGTCGACAGAGAAAAGGTGAAGACATGAGTTCATATTATCATGAGAAGATCAAAATGTGCAAAGAATTAAGTTTGCCAAACAATAAAACACAGGCAAATTTTATTTGGATTGTAGGCCAGGGAACCAGGCATTTCGTGAGCCACAAAAGAATATGAGAATTTAGATAAGTATATCATGATATTTTAAGTATAGAAAAACTAAACGAACACTGAATTGAGGTAATTAGATCATCCAAAGTATACAGTGGAGAAGAAAAAGCCCAAGACTTCAATGAATGGCTCAAGAAACAATGCAAAGAAAGTCTTCACTGAACAAGCTTCAACAAGTAAACCGAAAATGAATGAAAGTCATTTAAAAGCAGTCCAAGTGAATACAAATGTTATAACTGTCAACAAATTGGACATTTAGCTGAGATTGTCCAAATCTTAAAGTCTAATTCAAATGTAGAGTATGCAATGAAACGGGAGACACACCTAAACTTTGTACTAAGAGATATCCTATATCCGCTAGTGATGTAAATACCGTCAAAGGATGCGAGAAAAATAGTCTAAGCAAATATCTCAAGAAAATCAAGATTTGTGATGTACCATTCACAGCAGTTTTGGACATGGGAAGTTCTAAATGTGCCATTAAATCATCTTTAGCGATCAAGAATGATTTCAAACTAATTAAAGGTGATATGGAACTTACGCTGTGATAGTAGTGTATTAGCGAAAACTGTAAAGATACATGAGGTACCTGATTAAGCTCAAGCTTTCGATGTTATTATTAAACGTACGTATACAGAGTTACTACATGTTGGGTATTTGATTGATATTCTGAAAAAGTGACGAAGACAACCCCCTCTCGAAAATGACCTTGGACTTTAAACTTCCTAATAATATTGCATATAGCAGTATTAGCATCTAGCAAGGAGGACCTAGAGATAGCTTTAAATAAAATGGAAGCGGTAATGACACATCAGTACTGTATGAAAATAAATAAAAGTACAACTAAAATACTGGTATGCAAGGACGAAAAATTAGAAGAAGTGGCTGATTTTAGATATCTAGGAAGTCAGATAAGTCAGAACGGAAGGAGTGATAGGGATATAAAGCAGAGGATAGCGCAGGGTCGTGTCGCCTTTAATAAAAATAAGTCACTTCTATGCTCGCCAAAGGTGTATGTCTGGAGCGCGGCGTTGTACGGGTGCAAAATATGGACAGTGGGCGCGGCGGAAAAGAAAAGGTTAGAAGGCTTCGAAATGTGGTGTTATAGGCGAATGATGAGGATAACGTGGGTAGAAAAGGTTAGAAATGAAGAGGTATTAGAAAGAATAGGAGAACAGAGGACTCTATGGAAGTCAATAAAAAATAGGCGAGATAGGTTGGTAGGACACCTTCTCAGGCATGAAGGTCTAGTCAGAGACATAGTAGAGGCAGAGACAGGAGTTACGAGGGGTACAGGTAGACCTAAGTTAGATTACTGTTTGCAAATAGTTAAGGATGTGGGTTGTTCTAGTTCCAGGGAGATGCGAAGTTTAGCTCAGGATAGGAAAGAGTGGAGGTACGTGTCCAACCAGTCTTAGGACTGACGACCTTATGATGATGATGAATAATATTGTGTCAGTAGACCAAAAATTATTAAATGCGAAACCTGATATCGACAACGAGAGAAAATGAAGAAGTTGCAAGTTGATAAACCCAACTGATGAGGATGTAAACGTGAAGAAAGGTGACTTAATTGAGCAAGAGCTGATGTTTGTAGCTCAAAGTATAAAACATGAAAATGAAAGCGATAAGAGGAACAAAAGAAGTGAAATTACAATTGAAGATGTCAAGGTAAATTCAGAATTTTCAAAAGAATCCCAAGAATGTTTAATAAAATTGTTGAATGACTTTAGGGACAGTGTAGCCATAAATATTTTTTAAATCCATCAGACAGACAAAATAGTAATGGATATCCAATTGAAACCAGGAAGCAGCCCTTCCAACAGAAACCTTATAGAGTTAGCGATAGAGAAAGAGTACAAATTAGGAAAATTGTGTCAGAATGGAAAGAAGCAGGTATAGTTAGCGAAACCAACTCACCCTATGTTAGCCCAGTTATATTGATATCCAACAAATCCCGACAATCACATCGAAATTTTAGTGGATACATGTAAGTACCTTTAGCTAAGGATGAATGTGAGAAAACTGCATTTGGACATTCATTAAGATATTTTTCCAAACTCATGAACATAGTATTAGGGGATTTGAGAAGAAGCAAAATTATCCTTTTCTATTTGGATGACGTTATTGTACCTGCAAAAAGTTGACAAGAATTATTGAAACGATTAAGAAATACATACATTATGGTTTTCTAAGACAATTGACTGTAAATAAAGAAAAGGAAAACTATCGAGAAGCAGACTAAATTCGAGAGGAAGCCAGAGATAATATTCTTGTTGAACGGAAAAAAATTAAACAACAATTTGGTAAAACGCATCGGGACAATGTAAAATTTCAAATAGGGGACAATGTGAATATGTTAAACAAACCGGGGATTCTACAATGTTAAGGTATAAGTATCGATGTCCTTTGGTAGTGACTAAAGTTGTAGGAAATTATACTTCTTGAGTGATGTATTTGAGAGAAATGAAATCAGGTGGTCGATATGGGTCAACAGTTCATGTTTAGCAATTGAAGTTGAAGACCTGCGACGGACGAAGGCGAGTCGATTTTTGAAAATGCGAAGTAAGAAAACCAATTGATGTTTGTAAAGAAAAAAAAAGTAAGATTCATTCATTTATTTCCTTTTTAATTGATATAAACGATAGCCATAGATGGTAGAGAATGTCAATAGTAGTTGACGATCCGAGAGCGTGCTATCAAAGACAAGTTTAAAGATTTGTAAAGCGAAATAGTTTCGAAATTGAGTTTTATTGTTAAATTAGTTAATTTGTTTAATAAACGGTGTAAAATTACGTCACATTGGTGTCAGGAGGGGGATTTATGCCAGTTACAAGAAGTCAAGCGGCAAAAATGGAGGAGCAGGTGAAAGTTTTGATGGAAATGAAGGTAGAAATGAAGGCAGGACAGGAAAATTGGAAGAAGAGATAAAGTCAGACTAGGAAGAAATTAAGGAAGGTCAGGGGAAATTGAATGAAGATATGAGAACAAATTGAGCAAGAATGACTGAAAGAAAAGTAAAAGGAGGTAAGAGAAAAAGTTCAAGAAGATTTTAAAGGAGTAAGAATAGAAGTACAAGAAGAATTAAAGGAAGTAAGGTTAGAAATGCAAGATGAATTAAAGGCAGTACACAAAAAGTTTCAAGAGGAATTAAACGAAATGAAAGCCAATTTGAATGTTTAAGAATCCTCAGAAAAAGTGTGGTAGACTCGCAAAAAGGAAACCACTTGAAGTTTGAACCATCTATAAATCATTTGCAAAAAAGGGCTACGTCCCACAAACTATATCTTACATGCCTTGAAGAAGTATGTGGCAACGCCGCAAATTGCCGCACATGTGGGTATAATTTCATTTATTAACAATACCTACTACAATTTTATCTTTTGCTGATACTGAGATTGAAATTTGATGTCAACAGTGACCAGTAAAAGATAAATCGTTATCGCCAATATTAGATGGAGTTACATCAAAATTAGAATACAAATATTGTAAAATATCTCTTAGTAAACTCAAAAATTCCTTTATAGCATCCTATTCGCAATGAAAAGTTGTAGATAATATAAAAGACATAATAATAATAGCAGATGTATACCGCCTTCTTCTTAAAATTAATTGATTGAGTTGATATGCCATAATTTCAAGTTGGTTTACATTTTCAAAGTTTTGCTTTCGTTATTTGGTAAACTGCTTTGTTTAATAAACTTAAACTTTTCTCTAAAAACTTTTTAAATGACTCATTATCATTATTATCAATAGAACACGTATCCTTATACCTCGATAACAGATTTTAATAAAGCTAATATTTTTCAACTATTCTCCCAAATTATCTCACAGAAAAAGTGTTTTAAAAATCTCTTATTTACAAAGTTTTATTGAACTCTCTATGTTGGATTCTACGGAGACAATACTCTAAAAGTAATAAATTTGAAATAATACCTTGCATATCTTCTTGCAGCCTCTTCTGCTAACCATTTAACAGTTTTTTTGTTAAGATCAGATAATAGAATAGGCACTCTGTATAATTTGCTGTCAATTCTTACATCCACGGATATTATAGGATCGTTTAAAAATTGGTTTCTATTTTGAGTAACAATATCGTCTTTTTCAATAGAAACAGACAAATCTGTTGTAGAATCTGCCTCAGCTATGTACTTTTGTATCGTCATATCAGTCAATTTCAACTGATATTTTTTCTTTTGTTTGTTACGCTTATTTGATTTTGTTAATAAGGCCTTTTCATTATTTCGATGTAGAAATCTCGTTTGTGTAGGAGATAACTGGTCCTTTTCCGAAATAGTTTTAAAACTATCAGTGCTTGAATCGCTTTCTTCTAGAAATGTTCCCGTAGTAACATCACTTACTTCATTATTTAAAGGACTGCAATTCGAGTCTTGGGAAGGTTTAGAGGTAAGATTGTTGAGTTCTTTTAAAGAATGTGAAGATATGTCACTTTTCGGGCTAAAACTATCTCTTTTAGTTTCAAATGAATCAAAAACGCAAATATTGTCAGATAATATAGTTTTCCTTTTTTTATTTGTGGTACTTCCTAGATCGTCATCTAACCAGTTATCATCGCCAATGTCCTCTATAGATAAATGCGCAGAAATTTTAACTTCTTCATCAGATTTTCGTTTCTTAGAAATATCCCAAGTAGTACGACGCAAGTTTTTCATCACGTTTTTATATTCTGTCGTTACGCTTTCAGAAGAAAGGTTTTCATGAACACTAATGGAATCATTTGAGTTTGAATCAGATTCAAAAATTTCATTACACACCATGGAACTTGACGGTATATTCGTAAATAAGTCCTCATTTGACGGTAAAAAATTTCTTAATCGTTCAACTACCGTTGATTTCGTTATTTCTGGTTCTCTATTATTTTGTGAAGGCATATTGTCATACACTGAACTTGAATGGGAACTTTTTTGAAAATGAGCTTTTTCCGTTTGACCAGCTTTTTCGAGATCTTTGGACATTCGGTCGATTAAAATATTGTAATATGCTTGCATTGAAGTGTCCAATTTTTCAGTTTCTCTCCACTGCTTTAAAAGAGCTAAGGGAGTGTCGCCTTTATCGTCCTTAACTATTGACGAAGCACCATGATTTAGGAGAAATTCAACTATTTCTAAATGACCATTTATTGCTGCATCGTGAATAGGAGTTGTTCCTGAAAAGTGTGCACAAACGCTTTTATATACAAAGTATGTTTACTAATAAGTGGTAGAAGATTTATTTATTGAAAACGTTAAAGCATTGTACCTAATTTCTATATAACGTACATATTTATTTAACGTTGTTTTTCTGCTGATAAAAACATTATATGTAAGTTGAACAAAGTAATTTTATTTCTGACTAGCTTTAACCCGCGATTTCATTTAAGTGGAACTATTTCTAATTATTTATATTATTATATATTAATATCATATTAATTATTTCAAAAAGAACTCATATTCATGCCCAAAAAGACACGCGGATTTAGATCAGGACTAGGCAACGGCCAAAGCACAGGACCTGTATTCGTCCAATCCACCGTCTAGGAAACTGTTCGTCTAGAAAGTTATGCAGTGGTTAACGCAATGATACTATTCTACACTGACCCACGTTAAAAGAATAAAGAACTACGCTAGGCTGATTCTAAAACTAAACATCGTCAATCACATTTAATCTAGTCTAATAAATAACAAACAGCACGAGTACATACAAAAGAAATACACACGTTTTCAGATTTTGAGAGGTCTTATTATTGACTCGAAAGCTTTATCTAGTAAAGTAAAACTGAAAATGATACAAAGAGAACTCAGAAAAAGAACTACATTTTTCTAGTCGATAATGTTAGTGATGTACTAAGTCACCTGTACCCAGAGTTTTTTCGAAATAAATAGCAAGCTTTGGAGGTTGTTAAGTAGATGCAAAAGGGAATCGCATGGTGTGTAAATCAGCGTAATTTTGGAACAAAAAAGTGTATAAATACCAGAAGAAGTTACAAACCGAAACCGGCCCTGGGCGTGAATTGGCATCATCATCATAAGGTCGTCAGTCCTAAGACTGGCTGGACACGCATCTCCACTCTTTCCTATCCTGAGCTAATCTTCGCATTTCTCTAAAACTAGAATAACCCACATTCTTTACTATTCTTTATCCTATAATGCTATTTCTAATCTTCTCTATCCACGGTATCTACATCATTCGCCTGTAACACTACATTCCGAACGCTTCTAAACTTTTCTTTTCCGCCGAGCCCACTGTCCATATTTCGCACCCGTATAGCGCCGTGCATCAAACATACACCTTTGACAATCTTTTTCGAATTCATAGATTAACCGTTCGTGAGCATAAACTTATTTTTATTGAAGGCTACTCGACCCTGCGCTATCCTTTGCTTTATATCCCTACCACTCCTTCCGCCCTGACTTATCTACCTTCCTAGATACCTAAAATTGGCCACTTCTAATTTTTCGTTTCCTATCTTTATATTCGCTCTGTCTATACTTTTTCATTCCTTGCATACTATTTTAGTTTTACTTTTATTTATTTTCATACAGTACTGTTTGTCAATACTGCTTCCATTTTATTTAAAGCTATCTCTAAGTCCTCCTTGCTAGATGCTAATACTGCTATATCATCTGCAAATATAAGCATAGTGATCTTTTGTCCCTGTTTATCTATCCCTACGGTTGTACTGTCTTTAATGATATTGATCGCGTCTTCGATGTATAGAATAAAAAGTAGCGGTGACAGTGTGCATCCCTGTCTGACTACCTTCCTAATTTTTACTTCTCTACGTTGCAGCTCTAGCCCAACTGCCTGTTCTTTAAATTCGTTAATGCTACATCGACCTCCTCTCTCATTATGGGATAACCTAGCTCATCTATCTCCACACTATCTTCCTTCTCTAATATATCTCCTACTTCATGGCCTGCGTATAGGCTCTCTAAATATTCTTTCCATCTATCTGCCTTTTCCTCATTTTCTATCAAAATGACCCCTGCCTCGTTTCTTATATTATTACTACTGTATCCTNATAGGTTCTCTAAATATTCTTTCCATCTATCTGCCTTTTCCTCATTTTCTATCAAAATGACCCCTGCCTCGTTTCTTATATTATTACTACTGTATCCTACATTTTTAAAATTCCTCATCTGTTTTACCTACTTCAAACTTTTCTTCTACTTCTTTACACATCCTTCAATCCACTGTTCTTTAGCTGCCCTACACTTCCTAATTATTTCCCACTTTATAGCCTTATACCTCCCTAATCGTCCTGTTTTTGTATCCTCCGCCTTTCTAATTCTACAATCTCATTTGTGCGTGACGCTTGCGGTATAAAAATGTGGGTATGCACCAAGGTACATGGTCTGAGATCCTTTCATTAAAAAACATGTACTTGAAAGTTCAGCCAACGGCCAATCCGATCCTAGTAATTTACGCAGAGGAATAAAGCAATACAACGCCGCATTCAATTAGCAGAATCAGGTTGTATTTCTTTTGCATTTTTTTACGCATATACGAGGGTGGATTGATAAGTTTCCGGCCTGACCAAGAAAAACAAGGTTTTAAAAAATTTTTTTTTTTTATTTCTCAACATAATCTCCTCCAAGGCTGATACATTTCTCATAGCGGTGTTCCAGTCTATTAATGCCATCTCTATAGACTGATTCGTCAAGCTCCTCAAAATAACCATTTACAGCTTCGATTACTTCTTCATTGTCCGCAAATCTCT